AAAAAAAATGCCATATATTCTGTGAATATTTCACAGATATGAATTTCAGGCTAGCTTATGAGTAAATTTGCGATCCACAGATGGAGTAATTAGTGGTTGCTTAGCAAATGCATTCGGCTCTTTTTTATCTCGGGACTCTGGAAAAACAATCATGTTTGTACACAAGTAAAGCGCTCATAACGCAGTTGGAGACTTTCACAAAGTCACAACCAAAAACACAATCGCAGCATTTTTGCGGTCTTCGGCACAACCATGACAATTTATGTGACGTTCTGAAACTGTTCCGTCCTCAACTTGATGCCTGGAGCGTTTGTGTGGCGTTTTAAGCTGGTGTAATCCCTCTGATTTGGAAGCTATCACGAAGTAGCCGAAGTCGGGCATATATAAAAGGAAAGGACCCAACATTATGCCGTTTGAAACGTACATTTTAGAGAAACCCGTGATACAGTAAACGCGCAAAGCAACAGTGGTTGTAGGCGCACCAGTTTTTGTTAAGACAACTCATTTTTTGCAAATTTATGACAAATACCAAAATTTTGTTTAACACGATCTTTTCACCAAACGCGTTTTATGTTACTCATAAAATTCTATAAATTTTAACGTATAAAGAAGTGAAAACCTACCACCTGAACACAGCGACAATCTGAGATCGTTACATCACGTCAACCATAAATAATGTGGAAAACACAATCAGAAAGAAAATGGCTTGTTTCCAAATTCAAGCATGTTTCTCTTTATTTTTGTTCAATGGACGGACAACAGAATATAATTTCACACACAAACATCTCTTTACAAGTGTATCGTTTTAAAAAATAATTATTCAGGCATTTAATAATAAAATGCATAATATCCAAAGCAATTACACAAAATATACATTTATCATGTTCACAAGAGTTCATAAACAAAAATATATAATGGTTACTGCTATTGGCACCACTTCATATATCACACAGACACATGTGCACTATACATAAATATACACTACAAAAGTCCTATACATGTACAAAATACACAGATTTACACATTAAAATTAAATTTGATACAAACCATTTCTTAATCTTTCTGGCATCAAAATGGAATAACATTGTGAAAGAACATAAAATCTGCTGACACCTTTGTATTTCATAAACCAAAGGATAAAATTTAATTAAGTCATATGCACATTAACCTTTGTTAAACATCACGAGTTCTGCTGATTCGAACGAAAAGTAAGGCTGCAAGATGGATAACACACAGCACGAATGTAAGCTCTAGACTTTCTGCAAATTCAGTTCTCTTTATAAGCAAAGTGCTGAACAATGGTAAAATCAAGGTATTATTAAGTTGACCTTTACAATGTCAGGTCAACAAGCATACAATACAAAATTTGATGCAGGCCTTCTACTTTAGTTTCCTTTTAAAAAAATAACTTCTACTGTCTAACTGCAAAAGAACAAATGGAGATCATCAATTCCTCAAACTGAATAAGTACAGGAAAAAAACTGGACTCTATATCAGGAAGCGTTCATCCACTAATGTCTTTTTGGCAAGATTTTTCTTCCCACTGAAGTCCCGAAGCATCACAATGAGCTGGAAGTGTTAACAACTGATTAATCAACACATAGTGAGAAAACACATATATCAAATATATACAATTTAGTAAACTCCTTGTTAAAAAATAATTATAAAACCATATCATACAAACTGCGACAAAAGCACTAACAACAAAAAATTCAAGTCTGATTAACAATAGAATAAAACCTTAAACAATGGGAGTCAGTCCTAAATAATATGCAGAATATGCAAAAATATTATGTAGAGTATGCATAAATGTGAATAGTTAGCAACCTTGTTCTAGAATAAATAAATAAATAAATAAATAAATAAATAAATAAATAAAAGTTTTCTACTTACCTGAGTCATAACATAAGTGAGAACACCGGCCAGGACAAAGTTTTGTGCTATCAGATCCACAATGTTGAAGAACAGGAGATCAAATATGAACAGTGTCACCTCATTGCCATAGAAAAGAACACCGTCAAAGGAATGACCACTGTCTGGAAAAGATAAACCATCATAATAAGAGGATCAGAGAGGCAATGGCATCTCCTTGGTATGTACCACCAGCTGAATTTAGCACCCAAAAGGGATACTAACACACCTTAACAAGAGGTGTCTAGCTTTTTCAGTGCCAAAATTAGAGGATTTTCAATTTCAGCATTTATCAAAGTAATAAATTCTGAAATCTAAAAAAATAGATAAACCATCATAATTACAGTTAAAATATGATAGTTTACCTGGCAAAGTTATTAATATGAGTTTTTTTATTTCCATTTTATAAATGATAAAAACATAATATTATGTAAAATATCCCAGCTAGAATGATTTTTCAATAGCTTTTATAAAATTATTTAAGAGATTAAACTAAACACATGTCAAGTTTTATAAGCTTTAAAACTTTGGCAACCATCACCATCATCAATGAAACAAAAGTAATATAATCATCATAGAAACAAAAGTGACACAAACTACCAAAACTAGCCAATGTACATACCATTATAAAAATGGCCTCTGAGGGTGGTGTCTTCAAATTCTGCATCCAGTATATTTTCAAATAGCAGTTTATCTTTTACTATGTAGTCAATATCACGGAGGGCCTAGAATGTGGGAAAACAAAAATATAATCACATATTTGATATTGCCACATCCATCCACATTTCTTCCATTGTCAATTAAAATTCACACTATTATAAAGAACAAAATCCTAAATTGATATCAGTCATGATAAAAAGTGGAATACTGTTTTAAAAATCAGTCAGTATCATTTGCTACATGAAGTTTCATAATATTGAATTATTTGAAGAGATCTTTCAAAGATACACATGCTAAATCTTTCCGAAATTTCTTATTTTCCAGAGTTGCAAAGTCACATTTAATTAAAGTACATGGCGCAAAGTGTATAAAATAAATCCAATGATATAAAACATCTAATGTGTGTACACATGTGTAGTGTCATCCCACAATATACCCTTACATGATCAATGAAAGAGGACAGCAGCCTGTTGACCGTTTCATACGCAGTGACCGCCTTCTCAAACTGTGAGGCCCCCTGTCCACTGGGTCCTCTGTCCATACGGCTCTGGGGTTGACCCTAGAACACAGACCAGGGGTTTAATGGGCAAAAATCATTTTTGATAATATTCTAAAAATGATGGGGCATAAAAAAGAACAAAAACACTTAGTTTCTATCATTGCACTACCTTGTGTATGATGAGACTAAGGAAGAGCACCAGAGAAAATAATGTACTCCTCATTTTGCATTAATTAAAATGGACTTGAATGCTTTTCAATTTCATGAACTGAGAGAGAGAGAGAGAGAGAGAGATGAATACACTCACAGCCTGTGCCTGGAGTGGCAAGAGGATCTTGTCGTACTGCTGCCTCATCCTCCGGGGCAGTGCCATACGGAATGTCTGCTGATCTGTGTTGGGTAACAGGCCTCTCTGGCCACACATGTTATTCTGGAACGCAAGTTAAGGGTTATTCGTGAACATTAATTTAATGTGGATCATCTGTGATAACCCATGAAATGAGATTGTTTGCATTGTGCCTACCGTACCCCCTTGCCAGAGACACAGAGATTATTTTTTTACTAGATATTCATGGCAATTTCTCTGGCTATTCTGTGCACATTTCTGTCCTGTGACCCTGTTTTGGTCACTACTATAATGTTACCACAAATTACACCAAAAAATAAACAGAGAAAGTCAATTGTAAAAAAGTATAGGAAGACGGCTTGGTATTAACAAGCTATTCCATAACAAAACAGAAGGTAAATCTTGGAGAGAGAGAGAGAGAGAGAGATGTAAACTACTAGTACATGGGGCTCTCTAGGTAAACACCCACATTGAGGCAAGAAATTTTACACCATCAGCCTTCTCCTCACCTCCTCCCTCTTCAAGTTGTCAAACATGTCCTTGAGTCCAGTGTCAGCCTTGCCGTGGACAGACCTCCCATGGATGTAGTAGCCGTACAGATAGTTCTCCATGATGTACACACTCACGTTAGCCATGGAGCACAGGTCCACAAACTCACGCACTGGGTCTGAGATGAAACGCTCGTAGAAGAACGTGAACCAGATCCACTGGACTATCCCTAAAATGTGAGACGGTGGATTGTGAAGACTGGGATTCTAGATCTTGAACTGCAAATATTTGTGCTTAAAAAATCTGAAGCACTGGAAAATTTCAGCTCAAGTAGCAATTTTAATTTAATTAAAATCAGAATCAATTATGGCTATATGCATAAGGTTTTATCAGAACGGAAAGATAATTTCAAAAGGCAAAAACAGATACTATAAATCACAGAATGAGTTCAACTGGATGTATTTTGTAGTATTTTTACATGTGGGAGGGTCATTTTCTCCATGTGCACAAAGGGTAATTTTTACACATTTAGCAATTACTTTGTAAGGAGAAAATGAATTTTTTATAAAAAACTTAAAAATGATTTCATATTAGGAAAAATGGCTAAGTCTAATCACCAAGAGTTAACTACAAATATCATGCCAATGGTTTCTGTCTTACCTGTCAACAGATAAACAGTGGCTCCAAGAGCAAACCTAAACACCAGACTGTAGGGGGCGCGGTAGTTGGTGTCGGAGAAGTGAAGACGACTGTACGCATCCCTTGTCGCGTAGTTCTCAAACCCAACAACGTGAAGTAAAAACACCACCATCATAATCTGAAATATTGTATTGATCTTCCTGAACGTCTGAATCTCATTCCATTCATTTGCGACGAAATATGTCCGCCATATTGAAACAGGTTCCTCGACGACGCCCTCTTCCTTTTTGGTCATACCTTTAGGGCGTTCCCAGTCTATGAGGAATATGTCTATGGTGCTGTGCATGATGAACATGTGGATGAGATCTATGACTTTCAGAGCAAATGCCACTGAGATGTAGATGACATAGATGTTCTCTTGCTCTCTGGTTTGAGGGACGAGTAACGCTATACCTTGGTTCTAAAAAGAGAAATTGAGAATGTAAAAGCTATTTTTCCCTCCAATCCACATCAATTTTTTCTCTCGCTCACACCTATCCTAACTCACCACCTCTCTCTCTCTCTCTCTCAATTATTTTTATAATTTTGTCTGAAGCAACAGCACTATGAGTCAGTTCTACATGCACCAAGACCAATTTTGCTGTGACATTAACCCAAGGTATCCTGAGCATATTTTTACAAATAAAAAGAAAATACAATATACTTTTGTATTTTCCAAATACCTTCAAAACCATTTCCACCACACAAGTAAACGTTTTCATTTTTCCACACAGAAAAAGCACAAATTTACAACAAAACATAAAGCTAGCATGAGCTGATTCTGGTTACCTCCTTTAAGTTCAAATGTTAAATTACCACTCACCTTGAAAAACAACAGAAACCAGAAGGCTGCCCCCATCATCACCACAAAGAATGCGTTTCCCACTGCCCCCATGGAGTACAGCACAAATTTGATGAGGGTCAGAAAGTCGATGCCCACTCTGCCGGTCCTCTTGTACCATGACCACGTTCTCACAAGACCCCAAATGGCCGCCATGACACCAAAGACCGCCATGGCGATACCCACGTCCTGGCTGAACTTCTCCTGGGGCATTGTGTACACTGTGGAAAAGGAGAACTGAAAACACAGGATGTATTTTGTATTGCAATATTATATGAAAAGAAAAAATATACAGGGCACAATAAATATCATGTTTGTATAAAGGCTCGTTCCCAGTGAAACTACTGTTCTCTATAAATTGATCCAACTCTGAAGGGACTCTCGCTGAATGCAATCAGATTAACACACCTCCTCCTGGCACTGAGTAGAAGACAGAAAAGCTGGTGATTATGCCAGTTTGTTTGGAACAAGAGGAGGCGTGTAAATCTCTTAATCTGATTGCATTCAGCAAACATCCATCAGTTGGATCGATCTACATAAACAAAAATTTCACTGGAAATGAGCCCTTATATATTTGTATTGATCATCTTACCATCTAATGTGATTTATGACTTCAATCAATAGATAAATGTTAAGAAAAATTAGGTTCAAGTCATGAAATATATCAATTAATTATAAAATATCAAATACCCAGCATCAGTCACAATATTATTGTCAAATAATTGCCAAATTGGAATTTCAGAATATTTATTTAGGACCAAGTGTAGAAAAGGACAGCTGACACAAAGACAACACAGTGAAGAACTGGAGAAAAAAAAAAGATAAAATTAATAAATGTACAATGAAATTGCTTGTTTCTGTCCCTGTCAAGTGTGCATGATACTCACATCCACTTCAATCCCAGTTCCAATGTCTTCCTCCTTGGCCGTCAGATATTTTATCTGGAGGTATGGAGGAAAGATTCTGCCCTCTTTATTGGCAGTGTTCTCCCCTGTCTGTCCATTCTGCAGCCTCACTGTCAGTGTCATTTCAGAGGCATACCTCACGTATTTGGCCCGGGTGGAGGCGGGGGTCACTGTGGGGGTCGTACCTGTAGTCGTACCTGTGTTTATAAAAGAAAAAAATAAATAAATAAAAAGTTATGAAAATAAATGTCTTATTTTCTTTGAGTCACCATTCAAGATGAATGAAGGCTGAATGCATCACTTAAAAAGTGAAAATTGGATGCAAGTGAATTTTAATATGTTCATGTGAAACCTTCTAGCTGCACTTTCAGAAAAAAAATGGACAATAGCACTGTAGGTTTTTTTTAAGCATAAACAATACATTATCAAACTTGTAGGATAAATGCCATTTTGTTAAAAAAAAATAGTCAATAAAAATAGTACAATAAACAAAAGAAAGAAAGAAGTAATACAATGAACTGCCAGTTTCTACTCACTAGGTGGCGTCTTAAGTGCCTGGTTATCAATCAAAAAGAATCTTCTTGTCATTTTCCACTCCTCTTGGTTTGTAGCTGAAATAATATTGTGGCACAACTATACACACTGCAGATCTTATTCAAACTTCTTCACCCTTTTTACATGCCCACACTGCTGTTGATCAACATCAAATCACTTTTTCACCAATATTTAAATATATAAATCTCAATATTACAACAAAAATCTAGATAAAGAGTACCAACTACTTAAAAAAAAAAATAAATAAATAAATAAAAATTAACAAAAAAATACTATTCTTACTATATATAATTTCATTAATATTTTACAAAGAGATTCTGTTTGAAAAATGCACATTCACAATGCTATTCAAGCACTCAAAGTGTTGATATATACAGATGTCTTACCAGTGTGTTTAGTGCTATCAATGTTCTCTATTAGAACAGGGACAGCATACAGCTTTCTGGCACCAGAGCTGTCCGTAAATTCTAGGTCTAACACACAGTTAAGGCGTTTTTATTGTATTTTTATATGATAAAGTATGTTAAGATATAAAGACATGATTTGTCAATTCTAAGCAGAGACTTAAATTCAAGCATTGTTTTTTTAGCAAATAACTTCATTAGATCTTATGAAGTACTACAGAAAGCTTCATTTTGTACAGATCTGAATACTTTATTCAGTGAGTGTCAAACTTTTGGGAATTAAAATGTTCAATTAACTGCATTGGATGTAATGTAATTTTAGTAATACTGTAAGAAAGCTTCACAGTGTATAAATTCCTAGAATTTACTTGGTATATGTTTCTTGCATTTTCTCTGCTAGCAAACTCAGTAATTATCAGACCCCTGGCTTAGTTGACTAAGATGTCCAAGAGAGTGCTGTAACACTGTTCCTGATAGGGTAAGATCTGTGGATGTGACCATGTAACGTTGGTAACATAGATGATTTCCATGGAATTGACTTTAAAGTTGTTTTTTTTTTTTTTTTTGTGAAACAGGGTGCAGATGTGATCAAGTCAGCAGAGAAGCTGCATAGATCTTGTTTAGTTAATGAATATCTGTGTTCAACACAAAGGATACAGAGGTCATAGAAGATGAGGGGATACTTGTTTTCGTCCCACAGATCATCCATAGAGACTTGACACTGAAAAGAAATGAGGTAATGATCAGATCTTTACAATAGATCAGATGAATAATTTTAAAATCATTTGTATTTCTATGTACTGTAGCATTTGTGATGTTTTGACTCTATTGAATACAACTATCAGGTTGCCTGCTTTTCAGTTTTTTGCTGCCATCTAAAAGAATGTTCAAATTTTAAGAACTAATGATTTAAAAAATTACAGTATCTGTATAATTCACAATTTGGTACCAAATAATTTGTTTCATGGTACTTCTTATTGATGGCAAGAATTATTTGTTTTGATCAATTTTTTGTATGGTTTTTACACTTTTATCTTAGTTCTCATTGCAATCCATAAAATTTTTAGTTAAAAAAAAACATAAAGATACTTAACAGTCAAACATTTTTTTTTAAATCCACACTAATATATTTAAGAAAAAAAAACACTTTAACTAATGACACGGGAAACTTTTCTATAAAATTATCAATGACTCACTGATAGAGAGTAGGTTGTTCCAAACTGCAGAGCTGCGTTTAACATTTTAAGATTCCCCGAACAGATCTGCAGTGTGTCTGAAATAATGAAGTAGAATTGCTTAAAAAATCTACGTAATGACACATTAATATTCTACCAATTGAGGGTTCAAATTTGAACAATGACTATTTAAAAAAAAAGATGGAACAATTCAGATTCAAATTATAATGATTGATAAAACTCAAAACAATAGGGAGAGAAAAAGATAGTGATAAATAAGTTTTAAAAAAAAAGTTTCAACAAATTTTTCTACTACTTCTACTACTACAACTAATAATAATAATTTTATTGGTTGCAGCAGATGCTTTACAAAGGTTAAGTACAGAGTTTGACCTATCAATTACATACTACAATAATAACATATGCTTATCTCTGAAGGTTTGAAGACCTTTACATACATAACAGTAATACATATTCCAACATTGGAAACTGCGAGATATGCATTTATTTAAAAAGTTGATTTTGATTCACACCTCCTGTTACATTTTCAAGTCCCAGAAAAGTTCCGTTCAGAGCATACTTAGCAACAATGAGTTTCAGCTTGGAGTTGGCGTGACTCGGGCTGACGTAGTAGTCCTGCGTTATACCAGTGTCGTCAAGAACATTCTTCCCGTTTTCTGAGTAGTAAAGCCATGGCATGTTGGGAGGCCTACAGATCATCAAGAACAAGTGGCTCAGTACAGATTTCTTGATACTGAACTTGTTTGGTTCAAAGACATGTATTTTGCTCTTTCCTTTTTACAAGGCAGTACAGTTTTTAATGACTTTCCAGAATCTAATAAATAAAATTTACTGAATATAAATGATAAATCAATTCAGGAATTAAAAAAATAATTCATCTTTTAAGGATGCTTGATTTTATAAATCACTTTATATCAAATTACACGACCAATATTTCATTAAAACAAACCAATTTAAATTATCAAAATATTCAAATCAAATTTGGTTATTCAGCATAGATCAAACTGTTAAATCAAATCACAACTTAGTATATATACAAATATTTAACTGACACACAGAAGTTCAAAAATATTTCTTTATCTATGAATGTATTTCAAACAATACCAGTCAGGTGTCCACAAAAGATTGCCCCCTCGAGAACGAAGGTCTAAGTACATAGAGCAGGGGTCAGTCAACACGGCATTGCTCATGTAGCGTGCGGCGTACATGTTAAGCACGCACATGTTGCCCAGGGTTTGACACGCAGTGAGATTAGCATAAGCAGGCTGAGAATAAAACAGGAAAGTGAGAAAAGTGAGATAAAAAGATTGTGCGAAATTATTTAAATATCTAATAGTAACATTTACATCCAGCAGTGCACTTAACCTGACTGGGCCACCTTGAGAGGTCTAGCTAATATGTTATTTTGCCACAGGGGTTGGGGGTTGGGGGGGGGGGGAGGTTAGGTCCTTTTAAAAGACCTCTACAAGTTTGCTTTTTGCTGTTCGGTTAAGTGAAATAATCTGGCGTTGGAAAGATCCAGAAATTACCATAAATTTTCAGTCTTTCAATGTGGACTGGTCTAATTTTGTAGACTGCTGGATGTCTATATAGAGAGGTGATATTGCTTTCTGAATAAAGACAAATTTCAGAGAAAGAATGGAGGAAGACAGCTAACAGTCTGGGAACATACTCTCATGGCAGCTTTGTTTAAATTCATACACTTTGGCTAAATAAAAATTTGGAATTTGCTCAAGATCATTCAAAATAAATGATCACTGACTTAGTGAACAACTAACTATTTGACTACAGCAAAATTTTCCCCAGAGTAAATCCAGACACTGCTTGCTTAAAGGAGGGAAAATAAATGTGATTCCCTAAACATAGCTGGTGGCATGAAGAAATAAAGAACTATACTGTCACACCATCTAAAAGATAGAGAATAAGAGCTATGCATAATAACCACCACCTACAAGATGAGGAAAAAATCAGAAGTAAAGATGCAAGATTTATACATCTATAATAACCAACACATGCTGCATAGTAGACTACACAAATACAGGGTTCAGAAATTCAAATATTTTCTCTAGTATAATATTATTTTAGCAAAATTAAGGGTAACAAAAAGACTGCAAGTGCTTATTAAGTAAATAGTAGCCAAAATAGCCAAAATATGCATTCTCATGTTAAAGCAAATGTAAAAAAAAAAATCTTTTTTTCAACAAATTCATTGTAGCTTTAGTATAACTTTCTGATTTTCCTAAAATAAACTGAGTAGAAATGTTTACTCACAGTGAATGAAGAGATTCAAATTTCTAACTCTGTATTTCCAAAAAAATAACAATATTGCTACACAGCCACCCACAGCCACCCACATATACACATAGCCACCCACACTGAGGGACCCACAAGTCACCCACCAATCCTGAGAACTTGAACCCTTGACCAGATCATATAGTTCACAGGCTTTTCTATTAATGGCACTGCCTGAGCTCCCTACAGTACTGATATCTTTATAGTATGTTAACATGCACATATTCCCCAGGGTCTGACAGGCAGTAAGGTTCCCATATTTGCCAGTGGTGCTGTCAAACTGGAAGTGGAAGACATAAGAAAAACAGTTATCCCATGACGTACTGCCATACCTATAATAGAGAAAGAAACCGCATCTCTATAATGAAAACATGAACAAGTTCCTAGAATCTGACATGCATCAAGGCTGGCATATTGACCTAAATCATTATCCGGATGAATGTGTAGAAAAGCAAAATGACTCAGCCTAAATTCATAAGATGAATGCATATGTTATACCTATAACAGTCTGAGAATTGGTATCACTTCTCCATAATGTTAATATGCACATTTTCCTTCAGGTCTGATAGGCTATAAGGTTTCAGTATTGGAAATGTAACATTTTTCATATATTTGTATGTGATACAGTTATTACACCTTTATCATGTGAGGTGTAAACTAGCATATATTTCCCAAAGCCTGATTAGGATTCAATTGTGAAGGAAAAGGGGAAAAAGTATGTGAAATCAAACATCTTAATATTTTCCTTGTGCCTATTATTGTCTGTTAAGAAAATCTGAAAAAGGATTTGACAGGCAATTTAATGTGTGTGTGTGTGAGAGAGAGAGAGAGAGAGAGAGAGAGAGAGAGAGAGAGTTTTTCTTTCATAAGACAGAATTCAGTTGACTGAATTTTTCCTCTACCTTGCACATTTCATAAGATGCCCCTAGGTTGTCCCTGAAGAACGCTGAAGTCACATCACTTTCTTCAACTCGAATGGTGAAGTCTGTTCCAGTGGGTAAATTTGGATCAGAGGGAAAACACAGACCACCAGACTGAAATTGGAAATTTTTTTAAAGTTAGCTACATTTAAATATGTTATTTTTATATGAATTTGAAATAATACCTGTAAATATGTAAACGTGCTCTGCTCACTATATCATAATGTATACATACAGCACTAGTTAAATTATACATATACACATATGGCATTCTAAACATGATGACAGTATCATCATGATTATGCAAAGATTATATGTGTGTGTGTGTGTGTGTGTGTGTGTGTGTGTGTGTGTGTGTGTGTGTGTGTGTGTGTGTGTGTGTGTGTGTGTGTGTGTGTGTGGCAATAAAAATGAAATTTTAATACTTTTACTTCTTTAACCCTTGTACTTACTCTAAGTTACAAACAGAAATAATTTCGGATCAAGGAAGTAAACAATTCCCTTTAAAGAACACACTATGAGTCTAACTTTTAAAAAAATCTCTGAACATTAATTTGCAGGACCAAACACTGGGCGGGAGAGGGGGGGGCTGCCTTACACTGCATTCACAACAGAGGACTAACAAGTCCACAGATCAAATATGGCAACTCAATAAAAAGCTTCCTGTCTAATTCCCTAACAGACACTGAATAGATTCCGCACAGGGATTACCCAACAGGCATTCAAGTGGGTCAGCCAAATACGATCCATGGACTAGTCAGTCTGCTGTTGTGAATGCGGCTTAAGGCTCCATCAAAACTGAAGAAAAAATCTCAGAATTTTGTGATTCCACAAAAAAAAAGCTTATGACTGATAGAAGCCGTACCTGCTGACCTGCCTGACAGTCACAAGAATTCTGTACATTCAGCATGGATATTACCTGATTACACCTCACACACCTGAAAGGAATAAACATAAACAGGTATAATACAGTTATAAACTAGTGCACAATAAATACTATCTTAAAAAGCTTCAAGAATCTACTGGACAGCTAAGCTGACAAATATACAGGAAAATACAGAAAAAGGAAAATTTCACACATAAAAAAAAGAATATTTACCGTAAACGTAAACTGATAATGTTGATTTTAGAAAGCAACCTGCTGCTTTACCAAACAAAGCCACTCAGTAAATTTAAATTAAAATAAAAAACAGCTTTGGGGTTATGTGGCCAAAGTCACCAAAATTGTGCAAACAACCAGAATAATTACCGTAAATATAAACTGATCATGCCAATTTTGTCTCTTTACCAAACAAAGCTGGGTAAATTTTAAGTAAAAAAATGTTTTAGAAGTTAATGGGTGAACGTCATGTGTCGAACAACGACCATGTGGACAGACAGGCCAATCAGAATATGTACAGACATATAAAAAAAAACTAACACTGAACATTTCACAGGTAATTAGATGTAGGGAAAAAAATGAAAAAAAAAAAAAACAACTTATGTTTAATCACATCAATATTGAATAATTCTGGAAGGGATGACCAAATATTAAAAACCACCACTTAAGCAAGGGGTTTTCAAGAGCATTTTAGTTTTTCCATATTGTAACAGCGATATTGCAATAGTCAAAAAAGGAAGATTTCAGGTTTATCCCAGGAAAATCCATTAAGTAATAATTATACTATGTTTTTTTTTTTCTTTTTGAGAAAAGCCTATATACTGTGCATCTTTAAGTATAAGTAATACCAGTACCTGGTTCCATCTGCACTGGGCACTGTTCCCGCAGCACAAGTCTGGCAGGTTCTCTGGGGGGTGCCATGAATCCACTGTCCATCCAACAATCTCTCCACTGGAAAGTATCATTTCAACTATTAAAATATGCATATACAAAGGGAAGTGAACTGTCAAATGAAAACTTTGTCGAATAGGTCCATGGCTCCCTAAATTTTGTATCTTTTATGCAATAATATGTATGTGTCTAAAGGCACTTCATATCCTGGCTTTCTTTGTCCCAAAATGTACCCATAAAATATGGTCCAGGTGCTGACCTACTGAATGTCTAAAATTAAGGCTGCACATAGTGAGCCTCCCTATGTATTCCTTGTCTTAACATATAAAAAGGCACAAAATGTCAGGACACACCTACCTACTTTATGTACATCTGGTTAATATACATATCTCAAGACTCTGTTTTTATTTCACTCTAAACATTTTTTAAGATTGAAATTAGTCCAGGTATCACATATAACATGGACACAGTCAACAAAATAAAGCACTTTCATTATCATACATCTACTCAATGCACCACCCATATGCTGTCCACATAATGGTCATGTTACACATTTCTGTTATTAAATAGATTTATTACTGTGAAAGCCATTCACATCAGTTTTAAATTAAACCTGCTCTTAATAAATTAACTGAATGAATGCCTAAGCAAGCTGAAGGCAAACAGAAAACTTCTGTAGATCCTCTTTACAGCTGCATACCTAATCTTCTCCATCTTCCCCATTTAAAGGATGGTCCCTGATAGCAAAACCCAATGGCACATCAAGCTGCGATATACCTACACCCAGAACAGATTTAAGCTACTTCTGGTGTGAATGTTACTAGAGTTTATTGAGCACATTACCTGCGATCTCTGTGGCCGTGCACCCAGCACAAGTAACTGTGTTTGTGGTGCTGTACTGCCTACAGCCAACACATTCCCAACCGTTCTTTGCAGTTACCTAAATACAAACTTCTGCTAACACGTAGTTAAGAATATGCATGCACGCACAAACACACACACACATACACAAATGGCAAAAAAACACAAATACGCACTGTGACATAAACAAAGATACACCAGGGCAATATAAACATATAAAAAGCAACAGAAACAAAACACAAGATACGTGTACGTATAAAAGATAACAAATAGCATTACCTGTAATGTCCGAAACAGATGTACAAGAGGGGCAAGTATTTGAGGTGAGAGATCTGTTGTTGGCGTTACAAGACACACACTGCCAGCCATCAGCTGACGTGACCTAAAACCAAAACCATGCAAGAAAACAACATAAAACAGTGAAAAGGTAGATCTGCTGATATATGTGAACAAATGAAATTAAAGACACAGAGAAACTAAATAATTTAATTGAAATATAAATAGCTATGCCACTGTTAATAATTGTAAAGAAAAAATAGATTTATGAGGATTTTATGTTATTACATGTATCACAATCAATATATATATTTTTTCATTCATTTTTAAATTAGTCTACTTAACAATGAAACAACAATCC